AAGATTTGGCCATTTGGAAGGAGGACTCAGCACGTGCCTGTCAGACATGTGGGAAGATGGGTTTTTCTGTAGACCACACAATTCTGTCTTCCCCTGTGTACCTCTGTCACCCTCCCGTGCTTGCCTGGAATTCCTCAAGAGTTTTTTAAGAAAGACAGCAATGCAGGTCCAGAATGGCTGCTGACAGCAAAGCCCACAGCCATGCATGAGTTGGTTGGGGCAGGGCTTCCTGATTAGCCAATGTGGAGCCAGTACAGTGCCCTCAGTTAGTGAAGTGGAGGCCAACCACCAGACGGTGGTTCTGGTCTGTTGCTCAAGGAAAATGGACCTTGTGCTAAAACTACACAACTAAATTTCTCCCTGGATGTCTGTGTCATCCTCAGAGCTTTTATGGAATTCCTCAAGAGTTTTTTTAGAAAGACTATGAGAAATTAAGCTGTTGCCTCTGGCAGGGCCTACAGCTGTGTTGGATATGGAAGGGCCTTTGGGAATTATCAAGGTGGGGCTAGTGTAGCTGTCTCGGCTATTGCCATGTTGAGGGGAGTGCTTGACCCAGGAAAGATGGCATCTATGGGAAGGTGCGACATTGGCAGCTGTCCCTCTAGCCCTCTTAGAGTCACACAACTAGTCTCTCTCTGTATGATTCCGTCACCCTCTGAGCTGCCGTCCTGTCTGCTGGAGCCCAGGATAAGAGCAAGATTTTGTGCATTGTCCCTTTCAGAGGATGCCTGGGTTTCCAGCAGCCATCCTTCTCACCCAGGCAGGCAAAGTCCCTGCTGATTTTCACAGCAGAAGTTATGTAGCCTCGTTTCCCAGCACTGGGGAGCCCTGTGTGGGGTTCAGACCCCTCACTCATCAAAAGCATCAGAAGGTACCTTTGCAGCTGAGAAAGCCCTCTGGATTCTCAACTGCCCTTTTCACTTTTCCACCCCTCCTACCAGTTTCAAGGTGGCTTCTTTATATCCTTAGTTATAAGACTTCTCTTCAGCTAGTCTTCAAATGGTTATCCAAGTTGTTAGTAATTTAGGCTGTAATTTTGATGTGGTTAAAGTAAGTGAGTGCTACTTACTGTGCCATTTGGATCAGGTCTCACCTTACACTTTTATGTTATGGACACGGCTTCTTTCCTTAAACCATGAACAAACCTCTGCTAGCTTCAGATTTTCTTATGTAGCTCCCTGACCTCTTTCAGCCTTCATTGAATTGAAGACAGTTAAGGGCCTTGCTGTGGATTAGACCAGAACACTAAAGCTTTCTCCACATCATTAATAAGAATGTTTTGCTCTCTTATTATTTGTGTTCACTGCCGTAGCACTTTTAAATTCCTTCAAGAACTTTTCTTTGCATTAACAATTTGGCTAACAAGTCTTTGGCTCAAGAGGCCTAGCTTTTGACATGCTTTCTTCTCTGAGTTTAATCATTTTCAGCTTTTGATTTAATGTGAAAGACATGCAACTCTTTCATTCACTTTCAACTTAGAGGACATTGTAGAGTTATTAATTGGCCTAATTTCAATATTGTTGTGTATTAGGGAATATGGAGACCCGAAGAGAGGGAGAGAGATGGGGGAATGGCTGGTTTGAATACACACATTATTTGTAGATTAAGTTTGCCATCTTATATGGAATTACAAAAAGGGCACCCCAAAACAACTACAATAATAACATCAAAGATCACTGATGACAGATCGCCATAACAAATACAATAAAAAAAAGCTTCAATATTGTGAGAATTACCAAAATGTGACATAGACATGAAGTGAGCAAGTGATGCTGGAAAAATGATGCCAGTAGATTGCTCATTGCAGGGTTGACACAAACCTTCAGTTTGTAAAATAAATAAAATATCAGTGAAGCACAGTAAAGCAAAGCACAATGAAACAAGGTATTCCTTAATATTACATCTTTAATTAAAACTAATGTAAGGATTTAATTTTTGTCATTATTATTGGCTTTATTTTAATTTTTATATGGAATTTCCATTTTATTATTGTCCTTGCACTTTGGCTAATGTTCATTAAGAATTAGTATTATGATTTTGAACTTTATTGTATACATGTAATTTACAAAAATTGCTGTTTTGGTAGAGACAATTATCTAAAAGATGGAGCTAAACACCCTTTTGATATGTTAGTTGCCACATAAGAAATGATACTTAAAAAAGAAAATAAGTTGGAAACAATTTCCAGAACCATTGTTATTGACTAATATATAGTAGTTGAGAGTTTTGTAATCAATTTTCATGCTAATTAAAGCCAAGAAAACAGATATTTGAAATGTGTATTTGACCCTGAAATATATTTATCAGGGTTTTTATTATCTTTTGTAACAACAGGCTTTACTGTAGTAAACAGAATTGAAAAGGGGGGAAAAGACTGAAAGATTAGATCATTTGTCTCTGAACAATAATACACTGCGTACCTATCAAAATCACACTGTGTGTTCCTGGCACCATTTAAAAGTTAAACATATTAAATTTCTGTTAACTTGGAAAAATTATGTGTAATATCCTGGTTTCAAAGTAGGTAATTTGTAAATTGTTTACTTATATTTTAGTAATTAGATCATTGTGTTAACGATGTCAGAAAGTGGCTTCAGTTTCCTTTCCCATTACTAGTTGCTGTAAAGACAAAAAATGTTACCATGGACAGCACCTGAGCTAGTCAAAAGCATACCAAGGAAATTTTTTAAATAGTTTCCTTAACACAACTTGATAGAACACAGCCAAATTAAAAAAAAAAAAAAAAATTAAGGCAATGTCTTACTGATGGTGGGCATTATTGTCTCTTTAAAATAAAATATAGTATATTCTGTGTTTTTTGTGTTTTATTTAGTTAGGTATTTATTTATTTATTTTTGCATATAAGTTCTTTGGTTTATTTCTTCCCACCCCCAAACCCCCCTTCCCTTTGAGGTTTGTCAGTCTAGCAACCAATTTGTACTTCTTAATCCCTTCACCTTTTTCACCCATTCCCCCAGCCCCCCTCCCACCTGGCAACCAACAAAATGTTCTCTGTATCTACAAGAATGTTTCTGTTCTGCCTGTTCATTTTGTTTGTAGATTCAATTGTCGATAGATATGTATTCATTGCTATTTTGTTTGTTCATATTTTTTATCTTTTTCTTCAAGAAGACCCTTCAACATTTCATGTAATAACGGTTTGGTGGTGGTGAACTTTTTTAGCTTTTCGTTGTCTGGGAAACTCTTTATATGGCCATCAATTCTAAATGACAGCTTTGCAGGATAGAGTAATTAATCTTGGTTGCAGGTTCTTGCTTTTCATCACTCTGAATATTTCTTGCCACTCCCTTCTGGCCTGCAAAGTTTCTTTTTAGAAATCAGCTGACAGTCTTATGGGAACTCCCTTGTAGGTAACTGCTTTTCTCTTGCTGCTTTTAAGATTCTCTCTTTGTCTTGAACCTTTTGCCTTTTGATGATGATGTGTCTTGGTGTGGGCCTCTTGGGGTTTATCTTGTTTGGGACTCTCTTTGCTTCCTGGACTTGTATGTCTGTTTCCTTCACCAAGTTAGGGAAGTTTTCTGCCATTATTGTTTCAAATAGGTTTTCGATTTTCTTGTTCTCTCTCTTCTCCTTCTGGCACCAAGATGCAAACGTTGGTACGCTTGAAGTTGTCCCAGAGGTTCCTTACACTATCCTCATTTTTTTGGATTCTTTTTTCATTTTGCTCTTCTGAGTGGGTGTTTTTTGCTTCCTTATATTCCAAATCGATGGTTTGTTTCTTGGCTTTACCTACTCTACTACTGAATCTGTGTAAATTATTCTTTATTTTAGTTAGTGCCTCCTTCATTTCTGACTGTGCATCCTTCATTTCTGACTGGTCCTTTTTTATGCTCTTGAGGCCCACACTAAGTTCGCTGAGGTTCTCACTAAGTTCATCGAGCATCCTTATAAGCAGTATTTTGAACTCAGCACCTGTTGCGTTGCTTATCTCCATTTCACTTAGTTCTTTTCCTGGAGTTTTGTTCTATTCTTTTATTTGGGACCTGTTTCTTTGTCTCCTCATTTTGACTGCCTCCTTGTGTTTGTTTCTATGTATTGCTTAATGAGAGGTAGGGGGCTAGCTGAGACCAGATGCTGCTTGTTTGAAAGAATTTAGGAAAACCTGAAGCAGGATCCAGGACAGGCTAATCTTATAGGTAAGCAATTGGCAACAGCTTGGGTGGGCATGAAAGTTGGGTGGGGCAGGGTCTCAGGGAATCACCAGGGTGGGGCAACCAGTATGAGCCAGGTTGCTGGAGTCCCAGATATGGCAACAGTCTGCTGCCCCAGGGTAAGGCTCACCAAAGGAACAAAGGCCTCTGACAGCACATTTGTCCAGGAGAAAGCTCCCTCTCCAGCCCTCGCTCCAATGCCAAACAGCTCAGTTCTTCCCTGTATGTCTCTGGTGCCCCTCGAGCTGCCTCCCCTCTAAGGTTAGAGGGAGTGAGTCTGATAAGTCCATGCGCGGGCCCTTTAAGGAGCTGCCTGGGGTTCCAGCCGCCTCAGCCTCCCTGAGCCTCAGTTCCCGCTGGTTTTTCCAGCCAGAAGTTATGGGGACTTCTCTTCTGGGCACTGGAACCCTGAGTGGGGCGCCTGGTGTGGGACGGGGACCTCTCAGTCCTCATGGAGGACCTTCCCAGCTGAGGTATCCTCCTGATTTTTATCCGCCACACGTGGGTGTGGGGCCAGCCTGTCGCGCCTTTGCCCCTCCTACCAGTCTCGGTGTGGCTGCTGCTTTAATTCTGTACTTGTAGGACTTCCATTCAGCTTGATGTCAGTCGGTTCTGAATGATGGTTGTTCTGTAGTTTAGTTGTAACTTTGATGTGGTTGTGGGAGGATATGATACCACGTTTATCTATGCCGCCATCCTGACCGGAAGTCTATTCTGTGTATTTTTTAAGTTCTTGTTTTATCAAGATGTTTAACGAATATAATTTTGTAATTTTAGCTAATAGCACAGACCACTAGGTCCATTATTAAAAGTCACTTGTTCTAACAGGTCAGACCACTTATATGCCTTCTTCATTCAGTGGAGTCCAGAAATATATACAGAAGATACTGGTGAATATACTAGAGAACCTGGATTTATAGTTGTAAAAAAGATGGAAGAATCTGAAACAAATGAGGATTCTACTAATGAAGCAGCAGCCAGAGAATGGGAGGTAAGGAGAAAAATGTGAAGATTTCATTCATCTTTTTCTTGTGTGAATTAATTGCTTTATAGTAGTATAGGAAAGTAAATGAAATCTTGATACAAAAAATACTTTTTAAAAGTTTCACTGTCCATGCATATATGTGTTTATTGAATGAAACTGATTAGTAACTTTGGTTCATTACCATTTGTCATTTTTCATTGCTTCAGAATACTATAGAAGCAATGAAGCAATGTGTCAGCAATAAAACGACTTACTGAGTGCATTTAGGAATAATATTAATGGCTATTATACTAATTTTTATGTAACATATTTTTTCCAGATCCGATTTACTACTATTATCTCCTACGTGGAGTAGGTACCACAGTCATTTAACACAGTCGTTCAAATTAGCACTCTTCTCTAGGTCTACGCCCAAACATTATCATGACATGAATGTAACAATAATGCTAGGGAAATAAGCTGATGCTAATTTACAAAATAGTAAAATGTTACGTACTCAAATTTAATGAACTCATCTATATGGCCAAATTAACACTAATCAACTTTTGTAACCCCTTTTAGATATATCTTTTAATATTACATATGTTTTACATACTTTGTCTTGTGGGATTGATAGGGTGGCAACTGCTGGTTTATCTGTTGTTGTGATTGCCTGGATTAATCTCTTCCTGATGTGTTAAAAAATATAGAGCAGATGCTAAAATGTGATAACAAATGGGATCAAATTTTGTTATCCATTTGGTGTTAATGTTCGTGGTTGTTTATGTGATATAAATTTATTGTGCATATAGTTAACATGTATAATGATTGAAGATATACATGGCATGTCTTTTGTTTAAAATGTGAGCCTGATTTTAAATGTCCATTCTGTGTAGTATGTATATCAGTTTCTACTGTAACTTTAATATAATGGAGGGAAAGAGGTAACATGTTGAGCATATATTTTAGGTTCTTTTAATACTTAAACCAACATTATTAATCCTCTCACCAGCTTTATTCACAATAGCCAAACTGGAAACAACCTGAATGCCTGTCAGCAGGAGAATGGATAGAAAATGTTTGAATATTAATAAAATTCCAAATAATATAGCAGTAAAAATGTTCTACTGGCACAGGCAACACCATGGATGAATCTCAGATAAAATGTTACTAAAATTAGCCAAGCTAGACAATAAAAGAGTATCTACTATATAATTCCATTTGCATAGAGTTTCGAAAGGCAAAACTAGTCAAAAGTCCATCAGGCTTCTTTTTCCTGGGGGTTATTTGGGTGGTTAGGTGCAGGAAGGAACTTCACAGAGTACTGGAGATGTTCTATATTTTATTCTGAGTGATGGTTACATGGATGTCCACCATGTGGAAAATAATATCTGTGCATTTAAAATTAGCTTTTGGAGGCTTTTAAAATAGCCCAGGTGATTACAGATGTATACCTGTCCTCAGATAGCAACAGTTGAAAGTATAATGGAAGGGGATGAAATAAAGTTTTTTGAAAAAGTACTACATAGCTAATAAGATTAGATTTAGTGACAATCAGATAATGGTGAAGTTTCTAACTAGGGTGCAAAGTGTATGGCAATATTTTCAATCAGATAAAGGAATTGGGAATTTTTCTCCACTGAGGTTGGAGCACCTAACTTTGGAAAGAATAGACTATTAATGATTATTCAACTATTGATAAGTTTGGTTCAAATGAACGGCTTTAGTTCTTGTGTAAGACTCTGTGGGTTATAATTTCTAAAGAAAAAATATGTGTCTCCTCATCTGTTTTCAACCAGAACTGATTCAAATAAAAAGCAAATAGAGCTCTGGCTGGTTTGGCTCAGCAATTACAGTGTTGGCCCACGGACCAGTGAGTCACAGGTTTGATTCCGGTCAAGTGCACGTACTTGGGTTTCATGCAGTTCATCCCCGGCCTTAGTTCGGTTATGTTGGAGGCAACCAGTTGATGTGGCTCTATCACATCGATGTTTATCTCTGTCTCTCTTTCTGTCCCTCCCACTCTATCTCATGATAAATAGAAAAATATCCTTGGGTGAGGAATAAAAAAAGAAAAAGGAAAAGAAAATAGATGGAAAAAACTAATTTAAAAACTTGTTGCTATGTTGTCTAGAAACAGTGCTGTACTGTCCAATATGTAGCTGCTGCTAGCCACGTAGGGCTGTTGAGTACTTGAAATGTGGCTAATGCAACTAAGGAATTGAATTTTTAATTTTGTTTAACTTTATTATTTAGAAACTCATAGTTGATTCATTTGGGTAACTTGGACAACTGGGATATATGAATCTACATTTTCAACTATAAATTTTATGAAATCTAAATATTATCTAAATAAATATAAATCTCAGTAAGATCAAGTTTTTCCTGTGAAAATTCAGTGTCTGATTTGAGATGTGCTGGAGTGTAAAATACAGTAATTCCTATAGATACAATTGCCACTAACCACGTGTGGATATTGAGAACTTTAAATGTGGCTAGTCCATATTAAGATGTTCTCTTTAAATATAAAATATACACTGTATTTTAAAGATTTAGAGTTGAAAGAAAAATAATGTAAAGTATTAGTTTTTATATGTATTGATTATGTTGAGATGATAATATTTGGGGTATATTAGGCTAACTATATTAAAAATAATTTAACTTTTTTTCTTTTTTAATGTGACCATTAGAGAATTTATAGTGGCATATCTTGTATTTCTCTTGTATAGCGTTGGTTTAGTGCCCAATGGTTACTAAATATCTAAAAAGTATTTTTTTTTTCATCCAAAATCACTCTTGATATTGTACATTCTGTGGGTTTGAACAAATGTATAATGACATAAATATTTTAAATGTCAAAAAGGAATTTGGCTAGAGCACTCATAAAATTAGAGTACTTCAGAATGTGAAGTGATATTTTTAGGTTTTTTGTGTTTGTTTTTTTGTTTTCTACTTAGGGATGGAGAATAGGTGATTTAGAACTTAGGATGAATTTATTATGGCTACTAGTCTGTTTGATTAAAACTATATGGTCTGCTCACACTCTGCTTCAGTGGTACTTAGATCTTTATTATCCCTGATGGTGCTTTAGGGAGAAATATATTGCTAACCAGAAATTGATACATTGGGAAACTTTTGCATATGGTAAGCTTATCTCCACGTCCATTTCTTTTGTTTCCCACTTGTCCCCCTCCCTGTGTAAGTAAGCACCATGAGGGCAGTTTCATACACTACTATATCTTCAGAACTAAGAACAGTGTGGTTATGCAGGGAGGGGCAAAAGTAGATTCACAGTTTGTATGTGAAATAATACAATAATTAATAAATAAGAATACAAGAATCAACTCTGTTTTGCATACTAACGACTGTAAACCTACTTTTACTCCACCCTGTATAATTTATTCTCAATAAATATTTATTGATTAATGAATTTGTGCATACATTAGAATTGGTTATAAATTTTACTCATCTTTCAAAATTGGAATATAGCCCTGGCTGGTTTGGCTCAGCAGTTAGAGCATCAGCCTGCGGTCCAGAGAGACCGGGGTTCGGTTCCCACCAAGGGCATGTACCTCAGTTGCAGTTTGTGCCTGGCCTCGGTTGGGGTTGTGCAGGAGGCAGCCACTTGATGTATCCCTTTCACATCGATGTTTTTTTCTCTCTCTCTCTCTCTTCCTCTCTCTCCCTCCCACTCTATCTAAACAAAAATGGAAAAATGTCCTCGGGTGAGGATTAAAAAAAAAAAAAACACACAAAATTGGAATATATATCCTAAAATAAGTTTTTATGTCAGCTATAATTATTTTGTAATACAGATGCAGACTCTGGAAGTTGGAATACACTGACGTTCTACCTTCTCTCATTTTACATTTTATACTGTTCTTAGTTCTACTTTAACATATTCAGTGATAGGGAGGAGTTTATTACCTCAAAGGGCAGTACTATTCATTTTAGGACAACTCTGTTAGACAGTTCTTTCTTACAGTGACTTTAAAGAAATATACCTTGTAAGTTTAATCCATTTGTCTTTGTTCTTCTTTTTGGTGTACATCAATAAAAACAAAATTTTTCTGTATGTTGTGATAATCTGAAAGTATTATCTTCCTTTTTAATCTTTTCCCAGGATTATTTTTTCTGGTACTTCCATTGTTTAACTTTATTAACTCTTTTTAGATCCTACACTATTCTAATCATTACCCTAAAATGTGTCAAAGCATTCATAAGCTGTGGCATCCCTAATTACTAAAATGTACATTTGAGATAGCAGGAAAAATTCTATAATATTTGAAATAGTTCAGTTACAAAATATGTAAATTGAAAATCAATCCTGTTGAAGATAACTAGGAAAGGCTGGATGGAATTTAAGAATTTGGAGTGATAAGAAAAGGAAGGAGGAAAGGAGATCAGTATTAGAGATTTATTTGTAGAGTGATTTCCAGAGTGAAATGAGACCTGTAGAAACCTATGTTTACTAAGAAAAGTTAGAGAGATATTATGGTGCTCAGGAATAAGAGCCCCTAATGATAGGTCTGAACTAAGGTTCCTGAATATTGGGAGAAAGAATCTGAGAAATTCTATAACTCAATATGTGTATGAGATTGATATTCTTTAATATATACTCTTTTTTTTTTTTATCTTTTAAATCACTCATAGATATGTAAACATCAATTAGTTGCCTCCTGTATGCACCCTGACTAGGGATCAAATCTGCAACCTAGGTATGTGTCCTGACTGGGAATTGAACTCACAGCCTTTTGGTGTATAGGGTGATGCTCCAACCAACTGAACTACCCAGCCAGGGCTAATATATACTCTTTACTCTTCTGTTTAGTCAATATAAACATAATTAACATAAAATATCGGCTTACCTCAGCCTTTAATTTTTGAAAAATCATAATATCTTGAACTTATTAATTATGAATTCTTCTGCTATGGGAAGTTTAATAATCTTACCTTGCCACTGAAAAAGAAATACATACTATAGAATCTTTTACAGAAAGGTCCTGAGGGAAAGGTGGGGAAAGATG